CGTCGAGATCCAGCAGCGGGGAGTCGAGGCTGAATACGGATTGACTTTCCTGGAAAAGGTGCCTGACCAGGTTCTCACGCAGCTCCGCATCCTCAGCGAGACGGTCACGTCGTTCATCGCCGTCGGGGGGCAGCGCGACGCAGGCGAGAACAGGATGGACAGCGAATATCGAAAAGACGCCGAACGCCAGCACTGCCAACTCTTTATTGCGCAGTACTTTGGCGAGGAGACCGAGTCGACACACGTTCCCGCAAATTCGTATCCTCCGCTCCTTGGCCAGGACCCGTTCATCTTCCTGTGCGAGTCTGTGTTTGGAGTCGCGCTGGCACAGGGCATTGAAATTGCCCACCTAGTCCGGCTCTGCTATCTTGCCGAGATCACAAAGGTCGTCTACCATCTCGGCCGCAACATGCCCGCCACGCTCTGGCTACAGCACATAGTCACCCGCAAGGCGGATATGGACCCGGCGCTGGCCAACTTCGCGGCATTCTGCGAGGAGTTGGTGCGCATGGACGTGGCGGTCAGCAGCCAGTCGATCATGACAGATATGGAAAATCGGCCTGAGAACAAGGGCTTCGACCAGCCCGGGCTTGACAACTGGGACTCGTGGTACCTGCTGGCGCGGAAATACGCGCTGACTTTTCTGCGCAAGTGCGTGGTGCTGCTCCACGTCAAGTTTGGCGTCGACTTCAACAGCCACGTGTCGCCGGCGCCCGAGCAAAAGGAGCTGGAGCGTCTCACGGAGGCGCTGCGCGTGCCGTCGTTCGACGAGATGCTCACGGCGCTGACGCCGCTCGGCGTACAGTACGGTTGGCCCGTGGACACGAAGCGTCTCGTGGCCGGCTGGGTCAAGCACCAAGCCGTCTGGCCGCGGTCGGGCGCCGACCTGGCGCTTCCGGAGTCGGCCGTCATCAGCCACCCCGGCGTGTTTGAACTCGTGGGGCTGCCCAAGAACTACGAGACGCTCATCGAGGAGTGCACGCGCCGCAAGTGTCCCACCAAGGGCAAGGAGATCACAGACCCGACCATCTGCCTGTTCTGCGGTGACTTGTTTTGCGGGCAGGCCATCTGCTGCTCCAAGGAGGACAAGGCCGGTCGTAACAAGACGGTCAAGATTGGCGGTGCGCAGCAGCACATGCGGAAGTAGGTTTTTTTTTTTTTTTTTTTTTTTTCATGCCGCTTTTGAAGTTCACATGTCGCAGTGTAACTAACCGAAAACCCAAACAGGTGCCAGAAAAACATTGGCCTCTTCATCAACATCCGGCGATGCTGCGTATTCTATCTCCACCGCACGACGGGCTCCTTTAGCAACGCCCCTTATATCGACAAGTACGGTGAGGCCGACCTCAACCTCCGCCATGGGCGGCAGCTGTTCCTCCACCAGAAGCGCTACGACTCAATGCTCAGGAACATGTGGCTCAGCCATGGTGTGCCGAGCTTCATCTCACGCAAACTCGAGGCGGACATCAATAACGGCGGATGGGAGACGATATGATTTTTCCCCTTGTATTTCTGGCGGAGTGGCCACTACTTGGGTGACAATTGTGGGTGGGTTGTATACATTATGGCCTGGTACATTATGGTTTGGTATGATTTGGGCGGAAGGAAGGCACTAAGGTTTTATTTTATGTTTTTTCAAAGCGGTACCAGGTAGCGAATGGAATATGAGATAAGAACTGTTTTTATCTCGGCCTTTGAACATAGAGAGAACGAGGTAATGATACGGCGTCTAGATAATAGTAAGAACTGAAGATAGTATACTGCGTATGGCATTGCGTTCTTGACTTTGAATAACATTCCATTGCTGCACAGCTGGCTGTTCACCTGTCACCGGTCACATCAATCTTGTGTTTTTCGATCTAATCCTTTGTATCTTTGAGAGGCAATCAAGTAGCTAGGTACGTGTGTAATCATGCTGGAATATGGTTGCCAAGTTCAGTACTGAAATCAGACGCGGAAGGCCTAGACTGCCCATGACTGTCTTGAAGTCGAATGAAGGGCAATGTGAGAGTTGTTTCAAAGAGCCAAGCACTCCAAGCACCTCAATCCAGCTCCGCAGCGTCATCACGTCACTCTGGTGAAAGACTGCCCGGGTAGTACGCGAATAGTGTCTAATGTCGTATAATTGTGGTACGACCGTATATGGCTACAGGAATTGATCTGAAGATGTGATGTGCTGGCTTCGTCCTAGGAAAAGTCTATTTTTTTATTAGTATATAATTAAAGTGGTTTTTCCCTGGGGGAGTCCCAGCGCGCAAATCACTTTTTGTCCACTGCGGTCCGAATAGACTTTCTCTTATCTAGACTGCCACGACTGCCTAGAACTTATCCACGTACCGTTATTCGTACAGAAGGACGCACTGTGCCGAAGCTGGTGTTTTCATCCGACCTTATTTGAAATTCATTTCCTTCTTCAAGAGGTCGCCTTTTTCTGCCCTGTCCTTCCACAAAAAAACATCACCTCGACTGAAGCACGAGCTCGCTCATCCAACCTCGAATTCTCAAAAAATATAATCAGCATGGCGTCTGATGCGGACATCATCATTGCTCCCCATGGGGATGTCCATTTCCTTGTCCGCCGCAGCGAGAAGCGAATCAAGGCACAATCGCTCATTCTTCGCATCAGCTCTACCGTTCTGAACTCTTTGCTTGGACCCAAAAGCCTCTGGATCGATGGCGAAACTATTTCTCTCCCGGACGAAGAGGATGCAGATGCCCTCGCGGTTGTTCTCAATGCCGTCCACTACCGCGTGGACGAGATCGACGACCCGCTTCCCCCAGACATAGTTCTTCGCGTTGCCACTGTTTCGGAAAAGTACGGCTTCACTCAGTCTCTGAAGCTCTGTGCCCGCGACTAGCTAAAGTGCGACAATGTCCATGATGCACACAAGCTGTGCCAGCTTGTCATTGCATCCATCTTGTTCCAGGATGAGAAAAGCTTCAGCGATACGACGCTGAAGCTTCTTCGATCGTATGCAGGCTCATATTGGCGCCTTGCTGCTGAGGTCAACGGGTCGGGGAAGATGGCCCCCGAGACAGCTTTGCGGTTTGCTGGTAAGCAATCTACCTAGTTCCGTCTATTGAAACGCCCAGTTAATTGATTCTTCATTCTAGGCATGATGGAGGAACGACGGACTCAACTTCGCATGGACCTACTCTTTCACGTCCTCCACCGACCCTTCCTAACTGATCAACAAGCTCGAATACCGTACGACTGTTCGAAAAACTGTATTTACAGGAGTCATTTGTACATGCATTACATCAAAGTTTTGGCCAACCCGCTCGCCACACAACTTGTAGAGTCGCCACTGACTCCAGCACGAGTATCCGAAATATCCATTGACAAGATTATCGAGGACCTTGAGTCCAGAAGTTACTCCCGGATAGAATATAGCTGCATCGAAGAGTGTCAATGCAACTCCGACGACGACGAGCCTCACGATCACTTCAACCAGGATCACCACTTGATTCCTTGTTTTAATGAAATGATCAGGAAGACAACTCAGGCGTTCGCGGCAAGTCTTTCTGGGCTTTGTCTGACGTGCGTCCGCATGGGCGAGGAGCATAAGAAGCATCGTGGAGGCGAAGGCAAGGAGCAAAAGAAATGATCATGGGGGCGGAGGCAAGGATCATAAGAATCATCATGGGGGCGGAGTCAAGTTAGGGCTGTAACTAGGCGGGAAATGTTATCAGGTCGAGGCAGTCTATAGCGACTTGTTCGCAGATGCCACAGACTTGTATACAATTCCGGCGTATGAGGTCAGATATGATAATCAGCTCATACTGTCATCTGCAGACTTGAGATCAATAAATAAGTGATACGTCAAAGCGCTGAGTTTCGGTTCAGAGGGAATAGTGCGAGAAGCTCAGCTCAGCCTAGCCGTTCGTCCATTTACGCTTTTACAGTATGGGGAGTGGTGCTCTGGGTTTACAAGGATAATCCAGGAAACTGTGTCTTTGTGTGAGTGAAGACATGCTCGTGACAAAATAACAGACCTTCAATCTTCTCAATGCCTACGCCTTCTTTATGCCATGAACTTACAAGTTTGCCACGTCCCTCATTATTAGTCTAATGCACCCCTCTTCAAGAACCCGCTCCTTCTTTGCCTCGGGCGACACTGTCATGGCGAGGACAGAGGATTTTTCTTGGCAACCCAGTACTTTCAATCTGTTGGTGGTTCAACTCTTAAGAGGTGGCGGGGCTCATGCTCATGCTCGTGTTGTTGCGTTAGTTCTCAATGCGTCGCCAAGAAATGGCCCTTGCTTGCAAAATTGACCATTTTTCCCCCGCTTATGCAAATGCCTGTTTTTCTTCCCTTTACACCCTCCCTTGCGTTCGGAATACCCTCATTCCCACTGCATCCCTTGCATCGGAGATTCCTTTCGATTCTACGGCCTCCTTTTTGCCCGCACTGCCTGCCCTGAATACGGACTTCCGTGGAGAAATTCAGTGATCTTGTTGGCTATAAGAAGATGCTATTTTACCTGTATTTTAGCCTATCTAACCAGACAATTCAATGCTCAGTCAATCCAGATCACGTGCAACACAATGAAATGCAATTGGCTGACTCACACCCTCCCGTGTCACTCAGCGGCACACCCGCTTCATTGCATCTCACTTTTCACCCATCTCGGTTGATTGTTCAAACCATTAAACCGAGCAGAGTCATTCAGCTACTTTAATGCTATAAAGTCATCCTGACAATAGTGATGAGATGTGTTCGTGAAGGGCACGTACATCCACAGCACATAGCATCATGTAGCATATCCATGATCATCAACGTCCACGTAAAAATTGAACACAGTCAAGTCGGGTTCAGCCTCGTCCAAGCCTGCAGTGGTGTTGGAGCCACGCAGAACACGAAACAGCAAGGTGAAAGGGAAAATAAGACCCGAACGCCATAGAGAGTAATTAAAGCGCAGCTGCACCTTGACGAGACCAGGAACACCGGTCAAAAGACTTGCATCAAGACAGAAAGAAACCAAAAAAAATAAGAATTCGTCACCTACAGGATTCGAACCTGTGCGTCCGAAGACACGGCCTTGTATGCACGCCGCCCAGTCAAGGGCGAGCGAATTGTGGATAGCAGGGCCGCACGTTAACCACTCCGTCAAAGTGACTTGGCTTTTTTGTATTTGATGCAAGAAGGTTCGCCTCCGCAGGGTCATGTAGCCCGCACCGCTGCAAGTGGGCGGAAACGCGCAGGATGTGTGGGACGCCTGTGGAGTCTGAAACTTTGCTTTAGTAGTTCTACTGCTTTCCACGACTCGCTCGCATGAGTCATCTTGCACGTTGTCTAAAAGCCCTACCTGCTGGTTGAATGGCATGGACAGACAAAGGGACTGAGCGGGTGGGTGTAATAGCGCGATGGGCATATGTTCCTTGGATAAAATAGAATTTTCCGTTTATTCTCTCGAGCAAGACGAGGCCTTGACGTAAATACCAACCTAGCTAGCTGAGAACACTGCCGTCTATATCTTACAATTACACGCCGGAACGCAGTCGAGGTTGGGTTCAGCGCGTGTATTTCATATGAATGAGTAGATGACCGCCAGACCACACGAACCACATTATGCGTGTTTTTGTTGTAAGCTGACACCCGGCCTCGGTTTCGTACTTCCAGATAATCCAACCCGGCTCGTTATACTACCTACCTTCTTTATATCCAACCCAGGGCGTACGGCTGGTTCATGCCCCTGTTCTGTCAAGACACTGGATCTCTCTCTCTCTCTCCTTCTCTCTCTCCTCTCTCCAGTGTCCTCTTTTGCTTACCAACGTAAAAAAGGCACACAATCTCCTGGCGGCTGGGTATTCATTGTCCAAGGACTCTCAGAGCACGCCCAGAGCACAACAAGTAGTCGAGATGGACAAGCAAACCGCCATCTAGGTCATTCACATATTGGTCCTGCACGTCAGCACACCACCCCCGAAGGGGCCGCAATGGGACTGTCAAGTCTGCAAACTGTGACATGTTAGCTTGAGCTGTTCCGAAAGCAATGAGAGGATAAAAGGGCATACCTGGACAAGGACATGGGCATGGCACCGACGTGTCTTTTTGTTTTTCCTTCTCTTTGTATAAGAAGAGTTTCAGAACCATGACACATCGGCTACGTTGTTCCTTTTTCCCCTCTCTATTACCTCTCCCACTCGGAGGCCTTGCGCCACGCCATACTCATTTTTGTGTGTCCGTCCGGCAGTTTTCCTCTGGACCCCCCCTCTCGCCATCTCTCTAGAAGCGTGCAAGAGTCTCTCTTCGCCTCTCTCACACTTATCCAACCAGATAAGACAGATATCCGTCTGCCTCGAGCCACATGACCCTCTCCTCTGCCGCTCAAGATTTCATCCCTCCAACTGACTGACTGACCGGACAAGGGGGCGAGACGCAGCTCTCTCTTGTTTTCTCTTTCTTGGTCCAAGGGGAACAAGACAGCCTGCTCACAAAACTTCATCCTTGGCCCCTGCCGCGGCTCCAGCTCCGGGACTCCGACTCCGGCTGCGCCCGCTGCGCGCGCCGCGACTAGGACCGCTGCGGCCGCCGATGCCGCCTCCCCCGCGTGCGTTGTTGTTGGCGCCCTTCCCGGGCGGCGGCCGCACAAACGCAAAGTCGACCTGGATGGTCTGGTCGAGCAGTTTCGTGTCGTTGGCGCCGTCGATGGCGGCGCGCGCCTCCTCGAGCGTCGGGTACTCGATCAGCGCATAGCCCTGCGAGGCGGATCAACAAGACGACTTCCACTAAAAGAAGACGGGAAGTAGGAAAATGCGAAGAAAAAAACGCACCTTGACATAACCGCTCCGCCTGTCCAGGTTGAGATGCAGGTTCTTGATCTCGCCAAACTCGCCAAACTTGTCGTGGATGGCCTCCTCGTCGGCCTCCTCGTGCACGTTGGTGACGAGCACAATCCAGCCCTCGATGGACCGGACGGCCGTGGCCTTTGTGTGCGTCTGCATGTCGGCGATCTTGGCGCTGCTGTTGCTGGCGGCGTTGCCGAAGTTGTTGTCCACGGCGCTCGCCCCGCCGCTGACCAAGTTGCCGCCCTGGGGCGAGACCGGCTCGTCGACTTCCATTTTGTCGGCCATTGTGATGATCTCTGAGGGTACGTCTCTATTCGTCTTCAGAAACCCCAGTTCCCCTTTTCCGGTCGAAGGTCGTCGCTGCTGCTGCCGTTTCCCAGAGGAAGTACGTAAACTCAGGCGCGGACTCGACGACGGCTAGAATTTCTTGGTCGACAGGCAGCCTTGTGCTAGGGACTCGACCCTGGGAGCAAGACGGGGCCAAAGAGGAAAATATCCGAGCTGAGTTATATCAAACGGAATGTGGCCGGTTCCTGATAATAAAAAGAGGGCAGGATTCTCGCGTCAATTGGGCACTGGTGGGTTGTCGGGAGCTGCCTGGTCCAATTATATATGGTTTGTCTACGGCCGCGCGCGGTCAGGTCCTCGAAATTGAGTGCGGGTCGTCGCGGGGCTGCAGTTTGGCGCGCGAACCGAACGAGGGACGTACAGTACATAACAGCGCCGGGGTAATTAATTCCCCGAAGAAAGAGCGGCCATACACCCCAAACCTCACTAAAATACAGCGTCATGTCACTGAGCGTGCGGAATGCCTGACTATCCCGCACGATATAGAACAAATTGCTCAGAAAGACACAATGTATTATGCACCCTCTCCAACGCCAAAAGCATCTAAGCTGCCAGTTCTGAGAACTGTTGCAATGGCCAAGAGATCATCTTCCTCCCGCCGTCGTCAGACATAGAATGCAATCTGCGTACTCCAACAGCGAGAGTCAAAGAAGAGATAATAAACAACAATGCCCGACCATGATTCCTAAAACGCCAGACCAGACCCCCCCCCCAAAAAAACAAACACCATGATCCTTTTCCCTCAAGCATACACCAAACAAATGCCATCCAGTAACGGCCCAATACAGTCATCAGTTCACTCACACCTCTCCAGACACATTAGCCACTCAACTCAGTCAAACCCGTTCCATGAGCCGTCCCTACTCTCGCCCGTGGCATCGACCCGGACGAGGTTGCTCAGGACCGTGACGTCCAGCTCGTCGTCAGCCATGAGCTGGCCAGCCTGCTTCTGGCCCTCGAGCACGTCGTACAGCCTGTACAGCTGCCCGCTCTTCATCTCCACCTCGGCCTGCAACCTCTGAATCTCGGCCATGGTGCGCCTGCGCTCACGCTGACCAAGCGACTTGTCCAGGCTAAAGTAGGAATCATTCAGACGCTTGAGCTCCATCTGCAGGTGCTCGATTTCGTCCCGGGTTTCCTTGATCAGGATGGCGAGCGCCTCTCCTGGCGACGTCGCTGGCCGTATCGTGGGTTCATCGTTCTTCTCATCCGCCTCGGGCATGCGGTCCGAGACAGGCACCGGCTTCCCAACACACACAGTCTTCTTGCCCTTCTTCACATCATCGATTGTTACCAAGACGGCCTTGGTGGCTGTGGTGGTGCTGTGTTTCTCTCCATACGCGGCGATCCGGAGGCAGAGATTGCAGTTGTCTGACTTGTGCTTGCAGATGCCGTCGAGGACGCGCCGTGCTTCCTTGCTAAGAGTCGGGATCTCTTGTCTGACAGTGCTCTGCTTATCGCTGTGCAGGGTGATATCCGGCACAAAGAACGCAGACGTCATGTTCTGTCCCGTCATTGTCGGCTCAAGACCACCGTGGGTTGTATCTGAATTGCGTCGCAGCCGTGACTCGGGCTGTGTCGCTTTGCCAAGCACGTTGGACATGCTCTTGGCAGACCGGTGGCTCTGAGCAGTTAGGCCTGTGTGCTCAGACAGGTCGGTGTGGTGGCTGACGATGCTCAAAGCCGACTTGACGCTGAAGCGGCCCGTGTCTTCGTCGAGTGCAAACTGACTCGACTTCTTAAGGATCCCAGCTGGCTGACCCTTGGGCTGGGTGCCGCTGGCTGCTGCGGGTGCTGGGATGCTCCCGTCAGACCGGCTCCTCTGCATTGCTGGTGCGGCGGCCGACAGTGAAGGCAAATCGTACTCGGTGATCTGGCCAGTGTTGCCCGAAGGTCCCGCCTCTGTGTCGTCCTGCGGCTGGTTCTGGAGTTCTCGGTAGGTCTGCTTCAGCTTGACAATCTCGCTGTCCATGATGCTGACAAAGTCCGATCCCTGCGTCAGATGGAGCTCCGGATCGTCGTCGACGTTTCCGGCGCTGCTCTTGCCCGTCAAGTCGCTTGCCGCATATCGACCGCCCGTGGTATCCTCGGGTTCGACGATGCGCGTGACCTTGGCGGGTTTCCCCAAAATGTCGCGCTCAGTTATCTCGGTAATCTTGTTCGTGAGCTGCTTGACTTTTTGGATAGCTGCCTCACGACGGTCGAGCTTCAGACGGAGCGTCACCTCCTTTTGCTTGAATTCTTCCTCTAGCCGGACGCAGTCTTCGGTGTTGTCGTTGAGCGTCCTGAGATACTCGGTGTTGTTTTTGGTGATGAGCTGGTTCAATCGGATTACCTTATGTCGATCGTCAATCCACTGGCCTCTCATCTCCTCGTGCTCATCACGAAGTCGCTGATTCTCTTCGATAAGCTTCTCCTTTTCGGCTGCAAGCTCGAGGTTCTGCTCTTTCAGGACGCGGATCCGACCCTCTTTGGCGCTGATGGATCCCTCTTGCTCCTGCAAGCCGCCTGTCTGCTGCTGCAGCAGGGTCTTGAGACGCTCTATCTCAGCCTCAAGCTCGGAATTCAGCTCAATTATAGCCGTGTCGGTAGTCAGGCCTTGGATGTTGTCGATCATTTTATCGCGGCTGCTGATGCCCTTCTTGAGATCGGCAATGTGCTGATCGCGGGCAGAAACTTGCGCCTGCAGTCTCTTGTTCTCCTTGAAGTACGTGTCGTTATTACGCTCCATGCTTGCGTGGTCTTGGGCAATGAGCCTCTTGTCTTCTTTGGCAGCCTCGTACAGCTTGCGAACCGATGCAAGCTCATTGCGAGCTGCGGCAAGCTCTTTCTGCAGAGTGGCAAACTCTCGGCGAAGCTCGTCGTACCGCGCCGTGATGTTCTTGTTGTTCTGAAGAGCAGTGTCGTGCTGCTGTTTCAAATTCTTGTTTGCAGCCGTCAGAGTGGCGTTCTCTCTCTCCAATGCCTCCTTTTCGTGGCG